GGACACGGTTGGCATTTTTGAAAGACAGAAACCTGAAATTTGGGGGGGAAATGTCCTATGCTTCAAACCTTTCTAATTGAACCTTTCTGTTTTCCCAGTCCTTGCTAAAAATGGTGAGTGTGAGCTGTAGCAGGAAGGGCCAGAATTCCAAGTGTCTTGACCCATCCTCTGGTTGGATTCCTTGGCCCTGGGAGCTGTTGTTATTCAGAGATTCTGATGGCATCCTTTGGTCATGTATTCATTCCACAAACATTCATGGAGTCCCTACTATATGCCAGACCCTGTGCTAGATGCCAGAGACCACCGCTGAGTCCCTGACGCTGCTCCCAGAACAGAACCCTGCAGCTCTTCCACGGTGCCTCCTGCTGCATAGGTGGAGGGACCAGGCTCCCAGCCGCCTTGCACGTGGCAACCCGGGAGAGTCAGATCCTTCTCTCTGCAAAGACAGCGGGTCATTTGGAGCAGCAGCAGCGCCTCTCTCCACCCCACGAGCGACAATGCCCCAACGCCCTCAAGACCCTGCCTAACATCCCATCTTCATTCTCTCCTCCAGCCCCCAGGCTCAGGAAAACAGTCGCCCCCAAAGAATGGCAGCCCCTCCAAGTGTCCCCGCTTCCTCAAGGTCAAGAACTGGGAGACTGATGTAGTTCTCACCGACACTCTCCACCTGAAGAGCACATTGGTGAGTATCTCAGGAGAGGGTGTAGTCCAGGATGTTTCAGTCTCAGCACTATCTGCATTTGGGGCCGAATAATTCTTTGTTGTGGGGGCTGTCCTGTGCATCATAGGATGTTTAGCCTCGTCCCTGGCCTATATCCACCGAATATCAGCGGCCCCACCCCTGAAGTTGTGACAACCACAAATGTCTCCAGATATTGTCAGTTGTCCCCTGGGTGGGAAATTCACCCCCATTTGAGAACTATGGTTGGACCCTTAGTCACTCATGTAAATACTTTTATTTGTGTACCTTGAACCCGGAAGAATGTCAGGGGTATTGCTGGTTCTGAATGCACTGTCTTGCACAGTCTGACCACTGATGGAGGATTGAACAAACTCTTCCTTCCTGTCACAGTGTGTCCTCTAAATTTTGATATCATATTTGTAGCAGTCAGCAATGTATTGCTTTAAATGTTTGTTAAAAATGGGCCTCATAGAGGAACGCTGTATCAGTTAGCTATTGCAGTGTAACAAATTGCCTCCTCCACATTTAATGGCTTCAAACAACAACCACTGAAAACTATTTTTCAAAAGTCTACAGATTGGCTGGGTGGTCCTGCCTATCTCAGTGGATCTCATTTATCTGCCGTGGTCTGAGCAGTCAGCTAAAGGCAGGCCCCTGTTCCATGTGGTTTCTTATCCTGGAGCAAGCTAGCCTGACCTTGTCCACGTGGTGTTTGCAGGGTTCTAAGAGAATGAGCAGAAGCATGCAAGGTCTCTTGAGGTCTAAGCTCAAAATGGGTACAGTGTGACCTCTGCCCCATTCCACTGGCCAAACCATCCCAGATTCAAGGGGTGAGGGAATTAATTCCACCTCATACTGGGAGTTGCTGTAAAGTTAACTTGCAAAAGGTGTGAATCCAGGGAGGGGCAGAATTGGGGCTATTGTTTGCAATCAACCTACCATAGATGTGTTCAAACAGGTTACTGTAGCCACTCTACTAACCCCTTCTTTTATTTTTATTTTTTTAATTTTATTGGGGAACAGCCATGGTCATTGGTTACCCATTGTTTTCATGCTACCATGGCATAGTTGACTTAAAGGGGGGCGCAGGTCACAGTGGCCCATGCGGGGATCGAACCAGCAACCTTGGTGTTATCAGCACCACACTCTAATCAACTGAGCTAGCCAGTCACCCCTCTACGAACTCCGTCTTGATCAACGTAGGATGAGAAAAGATGTTGGCATGCAGTACCAGTGGTTCCATTACAAAGCCGCTCTTCCCCCAGTTGAGTAGAGCAAACACTTTCAGCATCTTAAAATGCTGCTTATCACCCTTCACCTTGGCTGATGACTATATCCAACAATGATTTGAAGCCGGTACTTGAGCAATCCCCTTTAGGACAAAGCCCGCATAAACTCCACCATGAATATCACAGCCAGGTCTGCAGCCCAGTACCTGCCACACTTGGGTAGAACCAAGTGATAGCCCAGTGCTTTCTTTTCCTTCTAGGAAATGGGGTGCAGCGAGCACATTTGTATGGGCTCCATCATGCACTCTTCTCAGCACGTACGAAGGCCCGAAGACGTCCGCACGAAAGAACAGCTCTTCCCTCTCGCCAAAGAGTTTATTGATCAGTACTACTCGTCCATTAAAAGGCAAGTTTATATTGACTCTGGGGAACTCGGGGTAAGTTACTAAGTACTGGGGACAAAGACGTCTGCTCCAACTTTGCAGACAATTAAACCAAGGCCTGAGCGTAAGGTCTTTGCCTGCTTTCTATAGAGGTTGAAAACTGGTGGCCCCAAGGGCCAAATCTGGCCCCTCCACAACGTTTTTGTGTAGCCTCCAGAGTGTTGTTTAAATTGGAAACGTTTCAAGTAATTCCATGCCTAGGTACCGTGTGTCCTTGAAAATAAGACCTAACTGGAAAATAAGCCCTAGTGTGATTTTTCAGGGTGCTTGTAATATAAGCCCTACCCCAAAATAAGCCCCAATTAAGATCATCAGCCAGACATGACTATATTTGAATAAATGTAGATTTTTGTACATGAACAAATAAATAAAATGCATCTTTTGGGGCAAAAATTAATATAAGACCTGGTCTTATTGTCAGGGAAACACAGTATATACCCTAAAGAAACTCTCACCCTGATTCACAAGAAGGCATACATAAAAATAGTCACTGAACCAGAGGATAACGATGGAGGGGGGGGNTGTTGTGTTAGGGACTTCAAAGCTGCTGAGAGGCTGGATCTTGCTTGTTCTCACCACAAAAAAGAAACCATCATTATCTGATGTGACAAAAGTGTTAACTAAGCTACCCTGGCGATATATAAATGTAGCAAACCAACACCTTAAATTTGTACACCTTAAACTTATACAACGTTATATGTCAATTATATCTCAGTTTCTAAAATATTCCATAGGCGTTAGCCTGGGAAACAGAAGCCAACGTCCTCAGCCTTGCTGTACCCTGGAATTACCTGGGGAGTTTTATGATGCCCACGTTCCACTCCCCAGGATTCAGATATAATTGCTTCAGGCTAGGGGCCTGGGCTTCAGTATTCTTCAAAGCTGCCCTAGAAGATTCCATTCAGCAGCCACTGAGCTGTACAAACTTCTGGCAGGAAAGGAAAACACACTTCAGGCAATTTTCATAGATGTGGCTATAGTCACATTTGGGGGTGTCTTTTAAGTCGTGTAAGGTTTTTGTATTTTTCCTGCAACTAATTTCTATTCTTTTAACCAAAATAATGCTGTTGACGTTTAACATTTGCAGCATGACTGGCTATACACGCTCTCCCCTTTTATAAAAATAACTCAAGTCTTATATGTATTTACGTAAAGCAGCGAATGTCTCACTTTTCTGCATTTGTGTCACCGCTAAGACCCCAGGCAGACCCTAATGCCTCAGCCTCAAAGAGTGAGTTTTAATAAGTCTGCTTTCATGGTCTCTGCTTACACTTCGATCACAAAGAGTCACTGGGTAACTTACGTGAGACTCTCTCCTACCCTGCCCTCCAATTCCAACTGCCATTGTGTACAAATGTTGACAGCTTGGGCTGGGAAACGATTTACCCAAAGCTGAGAAATTGCCGCATTCTAGCCCTATAATGAGACCTGGATTCCCACAAGTGACTAGAATTGACAGAGTAAGTGAAAAGCAAGGCTCCAATTAGTGAATTTGCTGTTGGGTCTTCCCCACGCCTGACATCTGCTCCCACTCCAGCTTGAGCTGTAGCATAAATGTCAGGGGTTGTTTTTCCCAAGTAGTTTCCCCAAGGGAGTCAGCTGGTTAGGGAGTGACTCCCAGGTCTTGGGCAGTATGCATGTCAGCTGGCTCTGAGGCCAGCTCTGCTCTGTGGATTTTGCGCAAGCCCAGGCACCCCTCTGAGTCTCCGTTTCCTTGTCTGTCAGATGGAGTCAGGCAGGTGTCCCCACAAGCTCAAAACATCCATGGTCTAGCTTGCAAGTAGCAGCCACTCCAGGGGTGGAGAAGGTTGGGTGGGGAGCTTTCCATACTAGAAAGCAGATGATGTCACTCCCAGGCCCACACCTCTGCTTAAAACCCCACAAACACCCTCGTTGTCACACTTGGAATCCTGGCTCCTGGGCACGTCCTTCCCAGTCCTGCCTGATCCAGTCCTGGCCTTCTCTCTCACCAACTCCCCCTGCCTCACCACCCTCCATATACACTGGCCTTTGTGTATCTCAGATGGCTGGCGCAAGCCCCAACTCCCAGCCAGGGGCTTTCACATGCTATATCTCTCTGCCTAGAATCTGCCCTCCCTCCATCTGCAAATGTCTTGCCTCTCCGCCTCATCTCTGTCTTACCTAGTGTGCCACCTCTGCAGTGGGCCTTCCCTGACTTTCCTGGTTCAATTAATACTGCCCTCATCTCCCTCCTCCTCCCATGTCCTTGTCTTATTTTCTTCCTAGGAATTAGCGCTCATCACAATACTAACTCTCTTCCCCACTGGAAGGCACGCTCAATAATAAACAGCCCAGGGTGACCGGTTAGCTCAGTTGGTTGGAGCGTGGTGCTGATTACACCAAGGTTGCCGGTTCGATCCCCGCATGGGCCACTGTGAGCTGCGCCCTCCTTAAAAAATAATATAATAATAATAATAATAATAAAAGGGCCGACCAAATCTCTCTAGTTTCCTGCTACGAGTAAGTCCTCCATAAAAAAATCTTTAGAGTAAATGAGCTCATCCGTGCGCCAATGAATTGATTCATTGCCGAATTAAGAAATGCATTTGTGGCACTAGCTACTAGCCCTCTCCCTCTTCAGTTCGAGGCGCTCCCACCTGTGAGACTGTTTCCTTCCCCTTTCAGGAAGTGGCCAAGAAGATGAACTTGGACATGAGGAAGACATCCTCCCTGTGGAAGGACCAGGCGCTGGTGGAGATCAACATTGCAGTTCTCTACAGCTTCCAGGTAGCACCACTGTGCAGCCTCAGAGGGAAACTAAACCTTTCAGAGCCTTGAAGCAGAAAGTCAAGAGCCCTGACTGCCAGGAACTGCCTTTGCGAGGGGCGGGGGTCTGTCCACCAGTGAAGTCTGCGTCCTTATGCATGCTTTCCTCTCCATTGTCGATCTTGGGTGGGGACTGTTTGAAGAAGTGATGATTAGATGGGGGGAGAGGGGGTTTCTGACTTGTCGCTTATGATGGTTTGGAATTGAGATGGCAGGCATCCTCTGTGTCCTGCCACCTCTCAGGGGCTCAGACTACCCCTTAACAGAGGCAAATCCTCATGGTCGTTATCCGAAGCATATGGGCACCTCAATGTTGGTGTCCCTGTGGTAAATGGTATGATAGTAGGATGGCTATAAAATGTATCATTGAGAGCAAAAGAGGGACACCACTAATAATTATGTTGGGACAATGGGCAGAAACCAGGATTCTCCTGGGCAAACCAGGAGACCTATAGACTAGAAGTCATGCTGTATAATTGAGACCATCTCTGTCCTCTGGGGGCTGCCAGTCTGGGAAGCTAGATCCTCATAGATGTACGTGGAAGGCACACACAGACAGTAGAATGAACCTATCCAGTCATGGACGGACATGAATAGCAATAGACTGGGTACACTGAGGAAGATCCCAGGGAAAAAATAAATGGAGGTGGCGTTGGGGGAAGGAGGCCCCTTCCTTCTCTCTCGGTCATGGAGGAGTGAGGTTTCAGTTTGTTGAAAATGATGGAACGTGGTTTGGTTGACTGGTATGAAGGCCAACGAGCCAACACACCAGGGGTGAGAGCGATTTGAGGGGATGAAAAAGAAAAATGCAGGCAGGGGGCGAGGGTTTGTGAGCAGAAAGGGAAAAGCACTGCTTGGGTAAGGTCTGACTCCAAACCAGCCGGGTTACCTGGGCAGTCAGTCCGCCCACCTCTGCTGTGACTCACTTGTTTTCATGTTTAAAACTTTATTATTTAAAAATATGATTTTTCAGAAGGTTCTGTATCACCGCCCTAAATGGAGAGCCAATAGCAGTTGCCATAAACAGAAGAGAAATGTAGATTTAAATAAACGAACAAACGCACGGAATGACAAAACAATGTTGTTAAACTCTAATTAGATAGAAATGATCTCTCTCTTATTAAAAAAAAAAGGGGGGGGAGGGACATTGGCAAGAGAGGCGTTAAAGATACATCAGCACCAAACAGAGACTTTCTCCTGGATACAATCAGAAGGATTAAAAGAGAAAAGCCCTTGACACTGGCCATCTCCAGGACCACCCTTTGGGAAAGGCTGCTCTGTGGGGGGAGGGATTCCTGAAATACCCCAGCGTCTCTCACCTTCTGACTCCTCCTCGTCCCCTCTCCACCCACAGAGTGACAAAGTGACCATCGTGGACCACCACTCGGCCACCGAGTCTTTCATTAAGCACATGGAGAATGAGTACCGCTGCCGGGGGGGCTGCCCTGCTGACTGGGTGTGGATTGTGCCCCCCATGTCTGGCAGCATCACCCCTGTGTTTCACCAGGAGATGCTCAACTACCGGCTCACCCCCTCCTTCGAATACCAGGTCCTGCCCGCTCCCTGCCTATGCCTGCCCTACGTCTGCAATACCCTGCCTGTGGGAGGCTCCGAGCGTGTCTCCCTTCAGACTAGCACTGTGGACACTCCAGTGCTCAACGGCCATCCTTGGCTAGTGGCTGCCGTACTGGGCAGCACAGCTCTTGCTGAAAGACGATTGGAGATGACACGAGTAGGCTGGAATCACAGGGAAAGTGTGGGAGAGGGACTGAGGGCTGAGTGGGACGGTCTGGCAGGACAACGCAGGGAGGCTGGACCAGCCAGTCTGTGCAGGGGCCCCTGTGGTCACCACCAGCAGAATCGCTCCCTTTAAGGGCTGAGGGTGGGGCGCAGGTGTCCTGAGCCTCCCCCGAGAAGAGCCCACATTCCCTCCCTGCAATGACCATAGTCCTCTCTTCCCAGCCTGACCCTTGGAACACCCATGTCTGGAAAGGCACCAACGGGACCCCCACAAAGAGGCGAGCCATCGGCTTCAAGAAGCTGGCAGAGTAAGTCTCCTGATGCAAGCGGAGGGATGTATGTGCCCCCCTCCCCCCAAACTCGGGGAGCCCCGGAAAAGGAGGCCGGGCAGATGGGCGTGCCTCTGACCTCTTCTGTGACTCGATGTGTCTGTTGTCCCCAAACTTCCTCGTGCCTCTCTTGCCTCTCAGAGTGTGAGATGCGAATGTCAGGACAACGCTTGTCCTACCCAATTTTACTTTCCTTGGCCCAGTTTCATAAATTCTTGTCCCGGAGGCAGTGGTGTGTTGGCAAACCACCTTTCCTAATAATAATAATAACGTTAAGAGTAGTAATAATCATTGTAGCATTTGCCAATTTCCATGGTGTAGATACTCCCACTGTGGCCAATTATAAGCTGCCAACAGGAAGTCACTGAACCCGTAGTCGAGAGGAGCCGGGATGAACTGGCTCCAACACACCGCTTCCCAGAGAGTGCTCTCGTCCAGGGCTGACCTCTAATTTCACTCCTTCATTCATTTACTCATTCATTCATTCATTCCTTTGGCCAACAAATGAATACTGAGCGCCTACTCTGTGCCAGGCACTGTGCCAGGCTCCAGGAATGCCATCATGAGCCAGCTAAACATAGCCCCTGCCCTCAGGAAGCCCACAGCCATTCATCTGTCAAAGACTCACATTATAGTGAACGCTGCCAGTGCCATCAAGGAACGATTCATGGTGCCCTGAAACAGATGTAACTGAGTTTGGGAGGGCAGGCAGAGAGGGCTTCCTGCAGGAGATGACAACTGAGCTAAAGAATAAGATGAATGAGGCAACTGAGAAAATAAGGGAGGGACGGGCCAAGGCTACTGAAGAGTACCTGTCCTGAAGAACACGCGACCAGCCCAGGGACCAGCCGTCAAGTGGGGCGGAGCCAACTGAGATGATTGACTGTGGAAGCCAGCCTTCTCCTAAAGACAGAGCGCTCCACAGATCCACTCTGAGACATCCCTGTTTGGAGCTAACTTTTCTTGCAGTGGAGCTAAGTATGCACTGGGCTTCCTCTTCTCTTTCTTCGGTGCCCTCGGGTCCAGAACTCTCTATGTATGGCACCCGGTTGTGTAAAAGGTGCCATCCAGGCCCCAGAAGCCCCAGAAGCAAGACA